CACCTGGCTGTCCAGGTTCAGGGTGACCAGGGACACACACCTGGATGTCCAGGTTCAGGGTGACAGGGACACACACCTGGCTGTCCAGGTTCAGGTGACAGGGGGACACTGACATGGATTCAGGTTCAGGGTGACAGGGGGACACTCTCACCTGGATGTCCAGGTTCAGCTGCTCCCAGAGGTCATCGTGCAGGGTGGACACCTCGCTCTCCAGGCTCTCGTACTCGGCCGTGCTGTTTGCCAGGGCCTGAGGGGACAGTGAGGGGAATCAGGGGGTCTTTGGCACCCAGCACAACCCCCCGAGCTGGGGAGGGGGTGGCAGCAGTGGGGGCAAGCTCTGAGGTGCAGAGACAGAAGCAGGAGCTGAGGTGGCACTTATGCCTGATTTGTCCCCAGGGAGGGGGAGCCGGGAAGGGACAAAAGGGACCCCAATTCCCCCCGTTACCGTGCTGGCCTGGGACAGCTCCACCCGGATGTTGATCAGCTGGTTCTGGAGCGATTCCTTCTTGTGCAGCAGCTTCTCCGGGTAGGCGGGCTGGCTCCCGAACATCTCCAGCTCCTGGTGCGTCCCCATCAGGGCGCTCTCCAGGCTCTCCTGCGGGAACAGATGGAGCCACAAGGTCCTGGCTGCTCAATAACACACCCCGAGTGCCATGGCCTCTACCCCCATCCAGAAATGTCCCCAAGCTGCGGCTGCCACTTCCCTGGAAGTGTCCAAAGCCAGGTTGGAGAACCTGGGATGGTGGACCAGGGGTGGAACGAGGTGTTTTTAATGACCCTTCAACCCAGGGATGGCAGGGGACACTCTCACCTGGATGTCCAGGTTCAGGGTGACAAAGGACACTCTCACCTGAATTCAGGTTCAGGTGACAGGGGACACTCACACCTGGCTGTCCAGGTTCAGGGTGACAGAGGACACTGACCTGGATGTCCAGGTTCAGGTGACAGGGGACACTCTCACCTGAATTCAGGTTCAGGTGACAGGGGACACTCTCACCTGAATTCAGGTTCAGGTGACAGGGGACACGCACACCTGGCTGTCCAGGTTCAACCCAAACCCTCCTGTGGTGACGTCACTTCCTCACCATCCAGGTGCCACCACGTGGTCCCCCCGTGGCCACCTGAGGTGCCACCACGTACCTTCTCAGCCCGGAGCTGCTGCACCAGCCTCTCCTGCTCCCGCAGCACCTTGTTCTGCTCGCAGAGCTTCCCCAGCAGCTTCTGTGCCGGCCGGGAAGAGGAAGGGGGAGAGGAAGAGCAGGATGAGATTCCCACCGGGATGCAGCCAGGATTGACAGGATTTGTGGCCTGGGAGGGATGGGGACGGGGGTTCCAACCTCCTGCTGTCATCGCAGGGATTTCGGGGTGACAAACCGGGAAATGGGGCAAGACCTAAACTCAGGGGAAGATTTATCCCTGAGGAGCACAAAGCGACCGGCACAGCTCTGCCTGCGGGGACAGGGGACACAGAGAGGGGACAGAGGGGACAGGATTGGCTCTTACATCGGTGTCCTGCTCGCTGATCTTGTAGGGGTGCAGGGTGTCCCTGTAGGGCTCCGGGAACGGCGTCACCTGCAAGAAGAGCGAGGGGTGAGCCCGGCCCTCCGGGGACGCCCAGGGAAGGGAAGGCAGCTCCCAGCCCTTCTCTTGATGCCTTAAGTTTTAACTTTCATATTTTTCATATCGTGCCCTGCCCAGGTGTGGAGTTTTGAGCTTCATATTCAGTGTCAGAGAGCTCTCTTCACAGAGCAGACACAACAATTCCTTTTCCAGCTTGACGCCAAGGACAATTGTTACAAGTTCCAGGCCCAAAAGCAGAAACAACGATGAAGAGAGAAAACAAGGATGGGACTCCATAACCTGGAGCTGTAATTGGACAATGAGCCCCGATCTGCAGATGGACCAAAACTGATAAAAATGTGATCGTCACCATTTGGTGACCATTTTTAGGTCCGTTTTGGGTGTAGCCCAAGGTGTGTCCTTTAAGGCCCTTCAATAAATCCCTGCTTTATTCTGAGCTCTGCCCAGCCTCTGCTCCAGCTCAGCCGGGAACAGGAGACCGGAGCCGAGCTCCCCATCAGTCGGGATTCACTGGGATGAAGCCACAACCTCTCCCTGCCCATTCCCGATGGGAATGATCCAGCGGCAGCCTCTCCGCGGAGCTGAAGGAGCTCGTGAATCATTAACCGCCACATTTCCAGCGGCAGGGAAAACAAAGGCAGCGCGATTGAGCTGTAATTCCACCTCGGCGGAGTGGGAGCACCTATAAATCAGCAGCTGCTGCGGCAGCAGGGCCTGTTTACCCCCGCCCGGCTCCTCCGTGAGTCATTTTCCTTTCCTGGAAATCTCAATTACTAATGGGACCTTCAGCAATTAGCTGCCTCCCAGAGCTGGAGATGAAAGGCACGAGATAGGAAGGAGGGGATCATTATTGCTAGAAAGCAGAGAGGGTGCTTTGGAGCCATTTAAAACTCCGGGATGATGCAAATGGATCCGGATCTGGGAAATGCCCGCGGGGCTGGAAGCAGAGCCGGGTGGATCGGGATGAGGCGGCCTCCGGGCAGGGAGCCCGGCCAGCCGGAGCAGCATCCCGGGAGCTCCGGGTTCACCCTCCGGCGCTTCCCTGGCAGCAGCAGATGGAAACAGGCGCCGGGTTTTGTTGGAAAATCCCATCCAGAAAGTGCCCAGGGCGGCTCAACGCAGGGTGGGTGGCACTGGGGGGCTCGAGAGATGTGACATCGCAGGGATGTCCCAATGCTGGGGACAGAAGGAACCTCCGGGGGTGAGGGAAAGGCCATTCCCTGTCCCTGTTTCAGGAATTATCCCGTTGGTTTAAGAGCTGCATTCCTGTCACCCCACACCTCCTCCTTGCAAAACAAGGACGAGACAAGCCCCGCTCACCCGAGATCCCCGGGGGCGGCTCCGTCCGAGGGTCCCCGGGGGTGGCTCGGTCCCCGAGGGTCCCCCGGGGGTGGCTCGGTCCCCGAGGGTGCCCCGGGGGTGGCTCGGTCCCCGAGGGTCCCCCGGGGGTGGCTCGGTCCCCACCTCGCGCTACCAGCACGAGGATTTGCCGGCTTGCAATGGCTCATGGATGGGTTAGCAAAGCCTGGGATGGAGCAGCGCGTCCCCCGAGAGCGGGATGTGCCGGATGCCGCGGCTGCTGAGCGAGTGGCGATGGCAGGAGGTGACCCCGGGTGGCAGGAGGTGGCCCCGGGTGGCACGAGCCATGCGGGGCCCGGTGGCCGGAGCCTTACTTGCATGTAGAGCTGGGCCCTAGGGGAGGAGGTCTCCACCATCCTGTTCACCATAGTGATGAGGGTCTCGCTCTCGCTCATCTGCGGCACACAGGGAAGGAAAGGGCACAGGTCAGCAGGGGACACGCGCCTGTGACAGCGGTGACCGGTCCAGGAGCCCTCAGGATGCAAAATGCCACCTCCTGAGACGGCCCAGGTGCTCCAGCTGTGGCCCCGCGCTGCTGTGGCTGCTTGGTGTGGTTTATTTCGGGGGGAAGACACGGGTAAAACAGAGCCAGCTCGGAGCAGACGGCACAGACAGACACGAGCTCGGACAGGGACGTCAGCAGCGTGGCCCAGCACACGGACGGACACATGGACAGGCCCTGGCACTGCCCCACGGCTCTCTGCCCAGCCGGGGCTGGCACGGCCCTGCAAATGAAAGCTGGGTGCTGGGGAGGTGACTGAAAGCTGGGGTTGGGGACAGCAGCGTCCCCTTCTCCAGGTGGCACCGGGAATGGCACATCCCCGCTGCCAGGCATGGTTTGGGAAGGTCTGTGCCACTGCAAGGGGACAGGACTGTCCCCAGCCAGCTGTGCCCAGCTCCCTCGGTGCCAGGTGACAAAGCCACTCAAGCCACCAGCACCAGAGCTCCTCCCAGAGCCCCCAGCCCTGAGCAGGACATTCCAGGGAAGCCCTGGCACCGCTGAAATCCAAAGGGCGACACTTTTGTCACCAAAGCAGGGCCCAAACTCGCAGCTGGGGGAGCCGTGGGCGAGGAAGGAGAGAGAAAACAGAGCAGGAGGATGTTTGAAAAGAGGCCCTTGACAGCGTCACTCTGAATTAGCCTCTCCAGAGGCCGCTGGAAGAGGAGGAGGAGATGCCAAACCTTTTCAGGGAGCGTTTTAAAGAGGCGCGGAGAGGCTGCGGCGCTGCCGGTGGCTGCGAGACAGCGCGAGGAGCTTTTATTGCAGCGAGAGCTCCTGCCTGGACCTGGCCCCGCTCCAAGGCGGACACAGATCCCGGCCACCGGAGATTTGCAGCCAAATGGGATCGTGCAGCTCCCTCCGTGCCAACCTGGCCGGGGCCGCAGCTCCTGTGCCCGGCTGCGGCTTCAGCCCCTGCCTGGACACGGCTGTGTCCACCTCCAAAACCCTCCTGGGTTTTTTCCTCCAAAAATCGCTGGCAAAATCAGGGTTTTCCTCCAAAAAACCCACACAAAATCATGGTTTTTCTCCAAAAACCCTCTGGTAAACCCCTGGGTTTTGGTTTTCCTCCAAAAAACCACTGGCAAAATCAGGGTTTTCCTCCAAAAACCCCATTCAAAATTAAAGTTTTCCTCCAAGGTTTTCCTCCAAAACCCCTGGCAAAGTCAAGGTTTTCCTCCAAAAACCTCATTCAAAAACACGGTTTTCCTCCAAAAGCTTCCAGCAAAATCAGGGGTTTTTTTCTAAAACTCACTGGCAAAATCAGGGTTTTCCTCCAAAAACCCCATTCAAATTCAGGGTTTTCCTCCAAAAACCCATGGCAAAACCAAGATTTTCCTCCAAAAGCCCCTGAGCGCTGCTGGGTTTTGGGCACTTGGTGCCCACCTGCACCAAACCTTTCATCCCCGAGGTCCCCCCACGTCACCACTGTCCCCAGGGGTCACCTGCCACCCCTGGGCACAGGGGACACCTTGCAGGTGTCCAGCCCCAACCTGGGGTCTCCCAGACCCGCTGCACCCCCTAAACACCAGGACAACACCCAGAAACGTTGGAATCTGCCCCCAAACCCCCCAAAACTCCCCCCAGAAATCCCCACCACACCACACAGAGGCCGGAGGTGGCGGTGGGGGGAGCTTCTCTGCCGAGCCATGAGCGGCCCTACGGATGCGGAGGATGGAAGAAGCCAAACCAAAATAAAAAGACAGCTGGTGCTGCTGGGATGCTGCTGGGATGCCGGGAGGGGTGGGGATGGATGGCAGGAGGCGACAGGGACACGGCGGGGGTGGGACGAGAAGCAGCCGGTGAGGTGAGGCTGGCAGCCAGCTCCGCCTACCTGCTGGTCCAAATATTCTAGGTTTCTTTGCAACTGAAGGTCTAAAAGTTCATCCTACCAGGAGCCAGCAGGCAAGAAACGAGCAGCGAAACACATAAAAGAAGAAGCAAAGCGGTTAGGGGGGAGCCTATGGAATGGCCCCCGGGCCGGGAATGCTGCCGGGAATGCTGCCGGGAATGTGCCGACCCCCCCCCCGCACACCCTGAGCAGCTGGTTTCTTGTTTATCTTTTGTTTCTCCTGGGGAGACCCTGCCTCCGGCTGCGGGGATGGATGGGCGGCATGGGTGGGGTGTGGTGAAATTCAGGCTTCTCCCTCCTCTGGCGGTCCTGTCCCAGGGTTTTGGGATCTGCGGGGACCTCCCGGTGTCACCCCCCAGCTCCGGGAGGGGACACGAGGCAGGAGAACAAAGCAGCTGTGGCCAGATGTGAGGAAGCAGAGCGGGAGAGGTTTGGGGAGTGCCGGCCTCAGCCAGGGACCACCCTGGGGGTCCGAGGGTGTCCCATTGCTACAGAGGGGCCTTCCCACATGGATTTCCTTCAGGAATGGCCGGGAGGGACCGGAGACACCAATGAAAGGCCCAACTCTGACCCACCAAGCTGCCCCTGGAGTGCACTGGTTCCTCCTTGGCACCTGAGTGAGGACCCCCCAGTCTGCCCCACGTCCCCGGGGTGGGGTCTGTGCCCCCCGTCACAGGGTCACCCCGGGGCACAGCGGGTACGTACCATTTTGTCGTGGATGGTGGGGGACGCCGGGAAGTGGTAGGGGTACACCCCGGCTGGGACAGGTCGCCTGTCACCCAGGTAATCGTACTGTGGAGAGAGGGGACCCCCACCCCAAAATCAGGAGGAGAAAGCACAGGAGAGAGCAGGAGAGGGAGAGGGGCATCAGTGCTCCCTGCTTGGGAGCGCATCTTGGGGTGTCCCTGAGCACCACATCCCATCCCATCCCATCCCATCCCATCCCATCCCATCCGATCCCATCACTGCCCATCCCATCCCATCGGACCAGGATGGCAGTGGGGATCCCAAACCCACCCTCTGTCACAAGCCACAGCCTTGGTGGCACTTTGTGGCCAGCCGTGCACGCAGAGGAGACACAGCCGGGGCGCGGCCACACCCCTTCCCCACCTCCCCGCCCGGACAGGTGCGCTGCCCACCTTGGGCGAGCTGATGGATCTGCGCATCACGAAGGTGGCGGGGTCGGCGTAAATCTCATCCCCGCGGGGCGGCAGCCGCTCGAAGCGGGCACTGGGCGAGCGCACGGGCGAGTAAACCCTGGCGCGGCTGTAGGAGCCCTGGCTGGGCGAGCGCGGCACCGAGCGCGAGCGCGGCTGCAGCGACATCCTCCGCAGCGAGCCCGAGGCCGCGTCCACCTCGTCCAGGTAGCCGGGCGGCCTGGAGGGCGCCGGCAGCCACAGCGGGACGTCCTGGCGGCCGAAGGCGGGGTGGAAGGGACCCCCGTTGCGGAAGGAGTGGCGTTTGTCCTCCAGCGCCCAGGGCGGGCTGAGGCGGTCGAAGGCGGGCATGGAGCAGATGCTGTCGGGGCGCACGCCCGGCGGGTAGTACTGGTACTCCTCCGGGTACTGCGGCGAGTAGGGCGAGTAATAATCGGGCACCCGGCGGGACACGGGGTAAAACCTGGTGGGGCTGGAGAAGGGGAGAGGGAGGTGAGAGCCGGGTGGGCAAGGACAGCGCGAGAGGAGGCGGCTCGGACGGCGGGGATGCTCTCCCTGGAATGCACCAGGGATGGGTGGCTTTTGTCCTGCCAGGGATTCCGTGCTCATGGAATTCCTCCTGCCAGAGGCTCTGTGGGAGTTCCCCTCGTGGGGTTGCATCTGCTGGGGATACTGTGGGAACGTTCCCTGATGGAATTCCTCCTCTCTGGGATCTCATGGTGGCTTCTTCTCCTTGTGTCCCTTCTGCAGGGACACTGAGGTGGCTTCCTGTCCTGGTATCCCGCCTCCCAGGGACTCCATGGGAGATTCCCAGCATGGAATTCCTCTCTGGGATCTCATGGTGGCCTCCTCTCCTTGTATCCCTCCTTGAGGGACACCAAGGTGGCTTCCTGTCCCATCATTCCTCCTCCCAGGGACACTGTGGTGACCTCCCCTCCTGTTCCCTCTCATCCCAGGGACTCCACAGGAGCTGCCCTTTGTGGAATTCCTCCTCTCTGGGATCTGGTGGTGGCTTCCTCTCCTCACATCCCTCCTGCAGGGACACTGAGGTGGCTTCCCACCCTGGTGTCCCTCATCGCAGAGATCCTCTGGTGGCTTCCCGTCCTCGTATCCCTCCTCCAAAGGACCCTGTGGTGGCTTCCCCATCCTGGCCTCCTCTTCCCAGGGACCCCCCATTACAACCCACCCTCCTTGGCTTTTGGGGATGTCCCACACCCAGCTCCTAGCTGGCACGGGGAGAGAAAGAAGAAAGGAGAGAAAAAAAATGAGAAGGGAAGGGGCAGAACATTCCCAGAAGGACCAAACCCGGAGCAAAGGAGCATCCCGGCCCACCCCTCACCTGCGCAGCTCCTCGGGGGGCCCGGTGGCGCGGCGGGAGTTCACCCACTGCTGCAGCTGCGTCATGGAGCTCTTGCGCTGGGCCACCTTCTCGGGGTGGGACCTGGGGGTGACACCCCTGCGCTGGGCCCCGCTCTCGCCGTCACCCCCCGGGGGGAAGGCGGTGCTGCCGGGCCGGCTGGGCGAGGGGTATGGCCACCCGTTGGGCTGTGCCGGCCGCTCGGCGCTCGCCGGCCCTCGCGGCCCTTCGGGGTAGGGACTGCCCGGCTCTGAGGGCGGCTCCTGTCCGGTGAGGCCGTTGGCTTTGGCCAGAGGCTCCTTCCTGCCATCCGCCCGCTCCGCCGGCTTCCGCTCCATCTTCTCCGAGCCGCGGCCGTCGCCCTCCCCGCGGGTCTTGGCGTCGGGCTCGGCCTTGGCGTGCTCGCGGAGGGCGGCGTTGCAGTGGTGGTGGTGGTGGTGGTGCTTGCTGGGGGGGATGTTCTCCGAGTCCGGCTTCTCGTGCCTGGGGGTGCCGAGACACCACGGAGGGGTCACTGATGCCTGGCGGTGCCACCTGTCCCTCCCTGAGCTCTGTGGGGTCCCCAGCTCCCTTCAGGGTGTCCCTCACGCCCCCAGACGTCCCCGGGTGTGGAGCAAGGACAGCACAGCGTCCCCGGGTGCTGACCTCTGTGTCGGGGGGATCTGGACGCGGGCGGCCTCGCCCATGGCCTGGATCCAGGATTCCTGCTCCTCCGTGTTCTCGGCGCTGAAGAAGTAGGTCCGGATGCCGGCGTGCTCGGCCTGGGGAGACAGGGACTGCCCGTTACGCGCCGGCAGCTCCTCCATCCAGCACACCGTCACCTGTGGGGGCACAGAACGGGGAGAGAGACACAGACACGGGGGTGAGAGCTCTGTTTCCAGCCTGGCACCCCATCCTGCCTCTCCAGGAGTGCTCCTTTCCCTCCGCATGCCGCCAGCGAGCGGGAGGAAAGCTCTGCAGGCCCCTCGCAGCGGGGTTTTATCCCCCTTGGAGTCACCCCCAGGGATTCTTTGGGACCAGCACTCCCCCCGAGAGGAGCAGCACACCAATATTTGGGGTGGCAGAGGGTCCCAGCAAGAGCGGCAGCACCGGAGGAGCATTGTCCATGCAGGGTGAGGGGGAAGGTGGTTTCTCGGCCCAGGAAATATTTTGTGAGGAAAAGGTTCAGTTTTGATCCAAGATGTTGGTGTCCGTTCTCTGCCCAGAACGTGCTGGAAGGAGCCTTTTATCTGAGGGCCTTTTTGAAGATTCCACCTTCCCCCCTCTCTGGAAAGGGGTGGGTGAAAGCGAGGAGGAAGAAAAGGGAGGAATCGGAGTTTTCCTCCTGAAAGAATTCCCAGGGTTCAATCTCTTGAAAAAAAATTAAAAATAATAAAAAAAAAAGAACTAAAACAGAAAAATGAGGTCTGATTAAACCCCCTCCCTTGAGTTTCCATCCTCCCCAGAGCATGCAGCCACCGTGCCCAGCTGGGGTCACCTCCTGAGCCCCCCCATGCACTTCTGGAAGCTCTGCAGGCAGAGGAAGAGGTGAAATCGAAGGGATGCATCCCCGGGATTAGCAGGAGCAGGGGAGCAGAGGGAGCCCGGGGGTCCCTCAGCCTCTGCATGCACCAGAAACACAAGAAGGTACTACCTAGGTGGTGGTGGCTGGGTGCTGGCGTAGTGGGTGACACCGAGAAACCCCTCCTGTCCCGGCATCCTCGCCCGCCGAGGGAGGAGGAGGAGGAGGAGGAGGAAACACAGGCACGGGGTCAGTGGGACTGCGGTGGGAACCTCTCTGCCCTTCCCCGGACAAAACCGTCCTCCCAAACCCAGCAGCTGCCGAGATCAGCGTGTGGGCAGCAGCTTTGCAAGGTTTTCCCCCAGCAGTGTCAACAGGGATTTCACAGAATCACGGAATTACTGAGGCTGGAAAATCCCTCTGGGATCAGCAAGTCCGAGCTGTGCCCGATGCCCACCCTGAGCCCTGAGTGCCACCTCCAGCTGCCACCTCCAGGGACGGGGACTCCAAACCTCCCTGGGCACTTCCAAGGCCTGGCCGCCCTTTCCATGAGGAAATTCCTGCTGCTGTCCAAGCTGAGCCTCCCCTGGCCCAGCTCGAGGCTGTCAAGCAGCTAAAACAGGGCTGGAATTGGGGACAGCTCCATGCCCGGCTCCGGGAGCAGCCGCTGGCAGAGGCCGGCGGGGGCAGCAGCCATGGAGAGGGGAAAGCAGGGCAGGGAGAGGGATGGCAGCACCCAGCAGGGCCCGGCAGAGGCGGGTGGTGACCTTGGGGACGCTGCTGTGTCCCCGTTTCCCCCACGCCGTTGTCCGACCCACGGCGGTCACCCCAGCGAGCTCCATGCGCCGCCACCAAGAAAGCCACAAGAGCAGCAGGGACCCTGCCAGCATCACCAGCGCCACCCCAGCGCCACCCCAGCGCCACCCCAGCGCCACCCCAGTGCCACCCAGCTCCACGCTGTCCCTTGCAAGCCCTGGCAGAGGCACTGACCTTGAACGTGTGCTTCCTGCTGATGTTGTCCGAGGGCTGCACGGCGGCCACGCGGAAGCTGAGCAGGGGGATGCTGCCCAGGATGTTCTCCTCCTTCTCGTCTGGGGGGGGACAAATCCTGCGGTTACACCCACGCGGGGACCCCCGGCACAGCCCCCTCATGCTCCGTCCCACCTGTGGGATCGGCTCCCTGCCTGTTGCTACTCCCGCAGCTCTGCCTGGCTCACAAACAACCTCCTCAATTATTGATGCGAGCCCTGGAGCTGCCAGGGAGGCGGGGAAAACTCGGGATTAACCCCTCGGCGCGGCAAACACCGGGAAAAAAACAGGGTGGAGACACACGGAAAGAGCCTGGGACTTTGTGCCGCCGGGGGCGGCCAGGAGCTGCGGGGGCGGCCGTACCTTTGTAGTAGAAGAGGCAGCGATCCACCAGCACGAACCAGCGCTTGTTCCACTGCTTCACCCCCGAGCTGGCCTGCGAGAGAGGGGCAGTGAAGGCGGCGTTCCAGGGCTTCCCGGGGCTCTGCGGGGCCGGGCGGGGGTGGCACGGGGGGGTACCTGCTTGTAGAGCCACCCGCTCTTGGTGACGGCGGCGTTGGGGTTCCTCTTCATGGAGTTGGAGCGCTTCCCGAAGGCGATGCCCTTGCGGGAGGAGCGCGGAGCCTGCGCGGAGCGAGAGGAGATGCTCAGTGCCCGGGCTGGGGTGCCCGAATCCCTGAGCCGGTGCCAGCCCTGCCACGCGGCCCCGGACACTCACCCGGCCTCCGGGGCGCTCCGGGGGCACCTCCGCCACCATGGCGTGGTTGGGGGGCTCGCTGGGGACGGTGGCCGGACGTTTGCTGCCCGCCTTGCTGGACATGTCCGAGCGCTGTCTGTGACACGAGAGAGCGGAATCAGCTGGTCTGTGCTTCTGCAGCCCGCCGGAGCCGTGCCCCCCACCCTTCCCAGCCCTCCCTGGCTGCCCCACCCCAACCGAGGGGACTGGGAGCCAACCTACCTTGGCAAGTCAAGCCTGGAGGTGTCGTCGGGGACCTGTCCCGTCACTGGGTGCAGGAAGGTGTTCCGCCTTTCATTGTGGCTGCGGGGACGGCGATGGCGTGGGTGTTACGAGTCCCTGCGTCCCCCCACAGAGTCCCCGTGTCCCCCCAGGGAGTCCCCGTGTCCCCCAGGAAGTCCCCTCGGTGCCACATTTGCTGTTCTGTTGGTCCCACACCAACACTGGGTTTTGGCACCGGGGCTGGCGTCCCCTGTCCTGAGCACCCCGCTAATCCCACGCTTAGGATCCTCCACAGAATGATGGAAATGTTTTGGTTGGGAAGCCCTCCAAGATGACCGAGCTCAGCCATTAACCCAGCACCACCAGACCGTGTCCCCGAGTGCCACAGCCACTGAACTGGACACTCCCAGGGATGGTGAGCGGAGCCCAGGCCCTCCTTGGTTGCCCCCTCCTCTCATGGAGATCCAGGGGGTTCTCCCTGAACCTCCTTTTCGCCAGGCTGAGCCCCCCCAGCTCCCTCAGCCACTCCAGCCCCTTCCCTGGACACTCAGAGATTTCATTGGCATTTCCCAAAAAAAGTGCCCAGGGCTGTGGTGGCCGAGCCGCCCCTCCCTGCTGCTGTCACATCCCGCCTGTCACCACTGGCCACGCTCACAAGTCGCTGCAGCAGCAACAGCAGCAGCAGCAGCAGCCATGGCCCATCCAGGGCTGCGCCTGCAGCCATGTCCCCAATGTCACCTCCTCCCCTGGCTGCTCTCCGAGCCATTCCCAAAGCACCTCGAAGCTTTGAGCGGGGTCACCTGGCCACGGCACCTGGATCACCCGCAGATCCCAAACACCACCCCAGGACCATCCAGACCCCAAACACCACCCCAGGACCATCCAGACCCCAAACACCATCCCAGGACCATCCAGGCCCCAAACACCATCCCAGGACCATCCAGACCCCAAACACCACCCCAGGACCTCTCAGAGCCCAAACACCACCCCAGGACCCTTCAGACCCCATAAACCACCCCAGGATTCCCACCACAAGCCGTTGTTGCCTCCCTGGCACTGGGTGCAGCTGAAGGGATCCCCGGCAGTGCCAGGAGCGTGTCACAGGCTGTCCCAGGCTCAGCTGGCACCTTGTGCCAGGCCCCTGCCATCCCACAGAGGTGGCACTGCCGGCCACCCCAGAACCCCCTCCCACGCCGCTTCCCGGGGTGCTCAGGGGGGAAAGGATGAGGTTCAGGGCTCCATCCCAGGAATTTTTCCATCCCCTCCTTCCCAAACCCGCCAGGCACCGGGGCATGGAGCCACTCCCGAGCCAGCAGCCCCGGCACGCCACCAGCTCCTGCTGCCCGTCAGCAAAACGGGGGAAGTTGGAGCAAGAAAACGCCGCTGCCAAGACCATCCCAACCCATCCCGAGCTTCATCCCAGCCTGGGCTCCTGCCAGGCTCTGGAGGCATTAACCACTGCCAGCCCAAAAAGTGTTGCTGCTGCTGCTGCTGAGCTGTCCCACCCAGGCCCCTGCCAGGGATCTGATCCCCTCCAGCAGCGCTCGGGGGCTCCTTAAAAACCTGGGGGATTTGTGTGGACCCCACAGCTGGGGGGGCTCGTTCTCCAAACCCCCCAAGTGCCCGGCTGCTCTGACCGGAGTCACCCTCAGTGCCCGGCCCACGCTCCAGCACAGCCGAGGGGGCTCTGCCCCAGGGCTGGAACTGCTCCCGGAGCGTTTTGTGCCCCCGGCAGTGCCCTCGGAGGGGTTCAAATCCCGGGAACTGGGGCAGGTCCCATCCCCGCAGCCACGCTGACGCACGGGGAGGGCGCAGTGCTGAGAGAGCAGCACCCCGAGAGCGCCAGCTGTGGGAAGTGGGCGCTGCCAGCACCCACCGGCTGCTCTGGACCCCACGCCGGGGGTCCCCCCATCCCTGCCCGCCACCCCGAACCCCACGCTGGGTGTCCCCCCCCATCCCTGCCCGCCGCAGGTCCCTGTCCCCGCAGGCTGGGGACAGGACACCCCCACTTTGCAGCCCCCTCGGCTTCTCCTGGCACCCACCGCGCTGCCTCCCCCCACCCCAAACCTGCCCGCAGCCCCCGGGAAGAGCCGGGAAGCTCCGGAAAGCAGCGCCCGGAGCCGCTGCCGGGGCTGACCCCGCTCCAGAGCCCGGCGAGTCCCCATCGCCTCCCAAGCACTGCAATGCAGCAGCCACTGCCCGGTGCCGAAGGTCCCTCACCGCCGGCTCCCCGCGGGCCCCCCCCGGGCCTCCCCAGACCCCTGGGCGCTCCTACCTCACCCTCCGGTCCGCCCGAAACTTCAGCATGGTCCCGGGGGCCCTCCCGGCTCAGCGCCCGCTCCCGGCTCCCGGCATGGCCACCGCGGCTGGCACTGCCGCTGCCAGGTGCCACCAGCGCTGCCAGGTGCCACCAGCTCTGCCGGGTGCCACCACCGCTGCCAGGGGACACCGCCGGGGCAGCCCCGCGCGGGCAGGGGGACGCGGGCGGTGGGCGAGGGCTCTGCCGGTCGTGCCCGTCCCCCGCGCCCCGCGCCGGTGGCATCGGCGGTGCCGGAGCTCCGGGGGGATCCGGGGGGATCCGAGGGGATCCGGGGGGATCCGGGGGCTCCGGCAGCGGCGGGATTGGGCAGCCCCGGTGTGCGGCAGCCCGCGGGGAAGGCGACAGCGGGGACAAACAGCTCCCGCTCGCGTCCCCGCAGAGGAGAGGCGAAGGGCAGCGCGGCACAGCCGCCTCCCCCAGCCCAGGTGCGGAGCCGGGAAGCTGCTGGTGGCAGGGGAAAGGCGACACGGGGGGCTCGGGGGGATTTAGGGGGGCTCAGAAGGGCTCCCGGGCTGCCCCCAGCCCGGCAGGGCAGCGGGAAGGGCGGGTGTCACAGCGAGGGAAGCAGCCGCGCTGAGCTGAGCTCTGCCTCTGCCCTGGATTCAGCGGCTGCGTCCCTTCCCCCTGCTTGTGTCCCCAGACCATCCCTGGGTGTCCCCAGACCATCCCCGAGTGTCCCCAAATCATTCCTGGGTGTGTCCCCCTCCTCCCCTCGGCTCCTCCTTCCCCAGATGACACCGGGAGGAAATCCCGGGCACCGGGATGGGCACAAACGGGAGGGGACAGACCCTGCAGGGCATCAGCACCCCCAAAAAATCCCGGGGATCCCTTCACAGGCTGGGAGCGGGGAGCAGCGGGGTTTGGGATGAGCCGTGCTCCGCCTGGACTTTGGGAAGAGAATCCAAACCCTGCAGGGCGGGTTGGAAAATCCTTGGGAAGGAGGGAGGGAAAGAATCGGGCTGATATTTCCAAGAAAGCTCCAAAGAAGGAAGCGGAGCACGGGGAGGCCGCTGGGCTCCATCCCGCCACGGCCCTGCTCCGGAAAAACTCGGGAACACCGTGGGACACTGCCCAGCATCGCATCATCCTCCCAAAAGTCTGAATTGTCCCCGTTTGGGGTGAAATCGGAGCCAGTGAGCACCTCAGGGATGTCCCCACTGCCCCATGGATGGCACCAGTGGTCCCAGCCTGTCCCAGAATGTGCCAACACCGTGGCACCAAGGAAACAGAATCCAAACCAAACTGAATCCGAATCAAACTGAATCCAAACCGAATCCAAACTAAACGGAATCCAAACCAAACTGAATCCGAACTAAACGGAATCCAAATTAACCAAATCCAAACTAAACTGAATCCAAACTAAACTGAATCCAAACCAAACTGAAACCAAACTGAACTGAATCCAAACTAAACTGAATCCAAACTAAACCAAATCCAAGCTAAACTGAAACCAAACTGAACTGAATCCAAATCAAGCCGAATCCAAACCAAATTGAAACCAAACTGAACTGAATCCAAACTAAACTGAATCCAAACGAAACTAAATCCAAGCTAAACTGAAACCAAACTGAACTGAATCCAAATCAAGCCGAATCCAAACCAAATTGAATCCAAACTAAACTGAATCCAAACCAAACCGAGTCCAAACTAAACTGAATCCAAATTAAATCGAGTCCATACCAAACCAAGTCCAAACCCAAATCCAAACCCAATCCAAACCCAAACCCACCAAATCCACCTGTTTAAGGTACGGGGCACGCGAGGTGAGATGCATCCATGGACAAACCGCCACCACCCGTGGGCAGCCCTGGTCTCATGCCGGGCTCTGGAGCGGTGGCCAACGCCCCGGTGCTGCCTGTCCCCCCATGTCTCCACGTCCCCAGGGCAGTGACTCACCCGCTCCTCCATCCCCACCAGCCAAGGATCCGGGATCAAGGTCCCCCAACGGCCGCGGGCGCGTGCCAGCCCTCCTTGGAGGCTGGAGAATGAATCCCACTCCCAGATAGCAAATCCCACTCCCAGATAGCAAATCCCACTCCCAGATAACAAATCCCACTCCTGTGCCCATGTCCCCACCGTGGTGCCACCCCAGTGCCGCTGTCACCAGGACGGGGATAGGGACCAGGGCGGAGCTGATGTCTCCCACCCTCACCTGCGCTGGTGCCTCTATGAAGCCACCCCAGAAGGGACAGTGCCAGTCCAAGGGCCACGTCCCCACTGCCACCTGAGCCCTGTGACAAGCTGCCCCCATCAGCTGCCACCGCGTGGCCCAGGCAGGGCCAAAATCGGGGCTGTGGTGGCCGAGCCGCCCCTCCCTGCTGCTGTCACATCCCGCCTGTCACCACTGGCCACGCTCACAAGTCGCTGCAGCAGCAACAGCAGCAGCAGCAGCAGCCATGGCCCATCCAGGGCTGCGCCTGCAGCCATGTCCCCAATGTCACCTCCTCCCCTGGCTGCTCTCCGAGCCATTCCCAAAGCACCTCGAAGCTTTGAGCAGGGTCACCTGGCCACGGGGGCTGGGAACCTCCAGACCCCAAACACCACCCCAGGACCATCCAGACCCCAAACACCACCCCAGGACCATCCAGACCCCAAACACCATCCCAGGACCATCCAGACCCCAACGCCAGCCCAGGGCCACCTGGCCCTGCAGGACATGCTGGCCACCAGCTCCCCATCATCCCTGTGATTCCCGTGGGAGCCGCGCAGGGAGGGAAGGCGGAGGCGAAGGCTGAGCTGGATCCTTTGGGAAGCAGCCGGGCTGCAGAGCCGGCCCTGCCAAGCCGGACAAAGTCCTTGGGAAGGGCGGCTGGCAGCTCCCACGCACCCACGGCCCACGTGCCACACCAGCAGCGTCACACGGGGACATCCCGGCTTTGGGGGATGCGGGGAGGGACAGCGGGAGAAGCTCCCGGTGGGATGGACGGCCGGGAGCTGGGGAAGGCCGGGGATTTCCAGAGAACAAAGCGGCTGCTGGCAGCCAGCGCGGCCGGCGGTGGCGGGGAGGGCGAGTCCCCCGCTGCCGCGCCAGCTGGGGTCGGGGAGAAGCACAAAAAGCACAAAAAAAGCACCGGGAGTTTGTGTTTTATCTCCCTGGAAACCCCGGCTCGGTCCCAGGCTCGGCCCACGGGGGCTGCCGGCCAAAACGCGCTGCTGCTGCTGCTGCTGCTGCTGCTGCTGCCGGGACTTGGACATCGGGGACATCCTGACCCCATGGAGGGACATTTGGGACGGGTGACAGCTCTGCATCGGGACAGAGCAGGTGACAGTCCATGCCCTGGCAGCTCTGGTGTCACTCCATTGTCCCCTCATGGGGGCAGAGCCCCGGTGCCTTGTGTATGGGATCACTGGGCTCCCAGGGCCACCATTCCCAGCCCAGGGCCACCATTCCCACATGGAGCCACCATTCCCAACCCAGGGCCACCATTCCCAGCCCAGGGCCACCATTCCCACATGGAGCCACCATTCCCACATGGAGCCACCATTCCAGCCCAGGGCCACCATTCCCAACCCAGAGCCACCATTCCCAATGCAACCCCCAAGCCTCCACCTGGACTTGCCCCTGGAGGGTTTGAACTCTCCCTGAGCTCTTTAGGAAGCCACTTCCAAGGCTGGAATGCCTGTCCCCAGCAATCCCTGGCATCAAAGGAGCGCGGCCCCAACCCCTCCCCGGCCAGGTCAGGTCAGGGGATTACGGCAGCGGCACTGGGAAAATATTGCTGCGACAAATCCCCAGCACCTGCCCCGAGCTGTGGCACTCAATAATCACACCCAGGTCCCCATGGGGCCGTGGGGCTCCTGCCAGCCCTGCTCGTCACCACCCTCGGGGCACCGGCTGCTCGCGGTGGCACTGGTGGCAGACAATGGCCCACGAGTGCCATGGGCTGGCTGTGTGTGCCACAGCCTGGCTGTGTGACATGTCCAGGTTGTGCGACACGTCCAGGCTCTGTGTGACACAGCCAGTCTCCGTGTGTCACATCCAGGCTCTGTGTGACATGTCCAGGCTGTGTGTGACACTCCCAGGTTCCGTGTGTCACATCCAGGCTGTGTGACATGTCCAGGCTATGTGTGACACGTCCAGGCTCCGTGTGTCACATCCAGGCTCCGTGTGACACGTCCAGGTTGTGTGACACATCCAGGTTCCGTGTGACACGTCCAGGCCGTGTGACACGTCCAGGTTGTGTGACACATCCAGGTTCCGTGTGACACGTCCAGGCCGTGTGTGACACGTCCAGGCTCCATGTGACATGTCCAGGTTGTGTGACACGTCCAGGTTCTGTGTGACACGTCCAGGCCGTGTGACAGCGCTGCACACACACACAAACACACGCGCACACACTCACCGGTGTCACCGCGCGTCCCCTCCGTCTGCCGCGCCGCTCGCTGAGCCGGTGGCTCTCCCGCAGCCGGCCGGGGCGGATGATTTCCCTTCCAAGCCCATGGAGACCGTCCTTGGTATCAATCATTAACAGCCGCCGCAGCTGCCGCCAGCTTAACCCCCTCGGCTCCGGGCGGAGCGAGGAGCCATCCCTTGGCCCCGCTGGAAGCGCCTTTAATGGCACCGTGACACGGCAAAGTCCCCGCAGGACACCCGGCCGGGCTGGCAGAAGGGTTCCCAAGGGGCTCCGCACCCCCTCGGAGCCACAGCCGCTCCTGCAGTGTCCTGGTTGCGTGTCCCCCTCCCTGTGTCCCCGAGCTGCCCGAATTGTCCCATCCCGGCGGGAGCTGCTGAAATCAGGCTGGTGCTGAGGGGCTGAGCCCCGCCAGGAGCGGCGCAGAGGGGCCGGGGCTGCTCCCCCCAGCCCAGGATCGCAGCTCGGCGCTCTCGGAGCTCACTCTCCCTCTTTTTTCCCCGCAGCTTTTCCAAGGAACATCGATGGCTGTAACTTTATCCCGCCGTGTTTACAACCCAGCTGCGGTTCTTGGCTCCCTCAGCCGTGCCGGGGGCCAGCCCGGCTCCCGCTCAGCCGCCACACGCTGCTGTCACAGTGTCCCTGTCCCCCCCCCACCCCAATGCCGGGGCTCCCCACGGGGTCCATAGGGACCAGCACCCGCATCCCCATGGAGAGGGGCTGGAGGAGGAGGAGGAGGAGCGGGAGCGCTGTCCCTGCGCCTGAGCCCTGCCAGGCGGGTGGACAGATGTCCCTGTCGCCTCCCCCGCCCCCCGCCGCGCTGCTGGCGGCGTTACCCAACCTGCCGAGGGGTTGAATGATTAACCTCGGGCTGCGCCATCGCCGGCTGCCTGCGCTGTCACCCGCGGCGCGGTGGCACCTGGGGACCCTGTGCTCCTGTCGCCAAGCCCAGGCGCCACCAGCTCCCAGGAGCATCCCAGGTTCCCTGAGCTTGTCCCCACAAACAGAGGGGCGCCATGCCTGTCCCCTATCCCCTGTCCCCTGTCCCCTGGCTCTGGAAGTACTCACAGCACCGCCCAGCTCCGGCTTCCCGACTCGGCCACCCCGAGAATTTCGCCCTTGTCCAGCCCCAGCTGCAGCGCCGGGGGCGTCCGGGCTGGAATGATCACAAAGAGCCTTGGACAAACATCTGTACGGCACCTCCCCCGAGCTGCAGCCAGGCCGGCCGCGGGATGGTTTCAATCACGCTCAAATCCCACCAAACGGCCCCAAAACCGCCCAGGGCAGCGAGCCAGGCACAGCAGCCGATAAGGCCCTGCAGATGTGGGGCTCGGTTTGGTTCCCCGTGTCCCTGAGATGCCCTGGAATGAGCACAGATTTGGGAATTCCCGTTCCCCACGCCTACCCGGGATGTAAAGCCACAAACTCCTTGCCAACATCCCGAGTTGGGTGCACTCAGGGGGTGCAGGGGGGTGAAATGAAGCATCCCCCTGCTCCCAGCAGTGATTCCTGAGGCCCTGCAGATCCAGGAGCTGCTATTCCCGCTCCAGCCCACCGGGATGGGGCGCAGGGTGAGCCCCAGCCTGGGCTCCATCAGGTTGTGCCACTCCCCGTGGAGCCTTTGGGTGTTTTTTGGATAAATTCCCCAATTTCCCGCTGCCGGATCTCCCACTCTCCAAAAAGCCACAAAAGCGGCGTGTCAGGGCTGTGAGACGAGCACGGACAGCGGCAGCTTCCACATCCCTGCTGCCTCCACGGGATCCCAATTTCCCGGCGGTGCTCGGAGGCTCTGGATCCGGGGGTTGGGCAGCGCTGGCTCTGCCCCAGCCCGGGAGCTGCAGCGCTGCCAGGCCCGCAGTGATTCATCCCAACCCCGCGCCCCGACCTCCCGCAGTCAAGCCCCGACACATTCGGCACATTCCTGGCATAGCCGGCCCCGCGGAGCCCCACACCTGCCGGAGCGGGAGGCTGGGAAGGTGCCAGCGGCACGATCCAGGCGCTGCCAGGAGATTTATGGATCCCAGGCGCGTTTCCCAAGGCCGGGATGGCAGGGCAGGAGCGGCTCCGCTCTGGTGACACAGCAAACTTGTCACCGTGGGCAGCTTGTCACCTCCCCAAGCGTCCCAGTTGCCTCGCTGGTGCGGTGCCACACGTCCCTCGCGTCGGGCTGGGTGTGAATGGGGAAACTCTCCTTTTTTAGATCTGATCCCGCACCCTGCCGGGGCTGGGAACAGCCTGTCACCGGCGGTGACACAACCGCGTGCGGGTTGTGCAAGGGCTCTGCGCCCAGCAGCTCCCAAGGACGGGATCAGCGCCGGCTCCGGGCTGGCCGCGGTGGCTCTCCGGCCCCAAATCTGTCTGTGGCACATCCCACGGCCCCGGGAGCGGCCTGGCGTGGGATGCCAGGAAATGTGCGGAGAGGCCAAAAGCATTCCCGGGTGCCTGGGAAGAGCCACCGTGGAGCCAAACCTGGCACTCATGGATGCCCCAGCCCCTCCAAAAAAATGGGCACGTGCCCACCTCACCAATCCCCCCGCACAAAAGAACCAAAGGTCCCCGAAATCAGGTTTGTCTTAAGCAAAAAGATCTAAAAAATACACACTCGGGGCTCCCCAAATCCCAGGATCAGGCTCAGAATCTTTGCCAGGATTTCCTCTGGCTCTAAAGCGCTGCCATCCCTTGGGACATCCCGAGGGGAATCACAACCTTTCCCTCGCTGTCTTGGGATGCGACAACCCTGATTTGCTGTCACCTCCTCCAGCCCACCGCACCCTGCTGTGCCTGGGACGGCCGGGAACGGCTTTCCCGGTGAATCACAGCTCATTCCCGGCTTTCCAACCGCGTCCTCATTAGCGCCCCAAGCCCGGAGCAGCCCCTGGGAGCAGCTGCCAGGGAAAAGCCAGGAATCTGCTGGGGGAAAAACAGAAGGAGCCGAACCCACCCCCGCACACACCCAACCAAACCCTGGGAGACTCCCGGGCGGCGCGGGGACAGGACACACCCAAACAGTGTCACCAAACAGCCCTGGCCGTGTCACTTGTCCCCCTCCCAGCGCCACCTCCGCAGCGCCACGGGCGGGTTGGGCTCTGCAGGGCGAGTTCTCGCCCTGAATGGAGTTTAGTCACCGTGGGACGCTTCCAGCTGGAAATCGGGACTGTTCCAGGCCGCCGCTTCCCAGAAATTTGCGCAGGAGCCCGGTGCCAGCTCCCCCCTTCCTTCTCCCCCAGAAATAAACGCGGGCCCGGCTCTCCCTCCGCCCCGCGGGGAGGAGCAGCCTCGGGATCCGGGGAGGGAAGCTGGAAGGACGGGATGGCTGAGCCGGGCTGGAGCCGGGCCAGTCCCAGCCTGGAGAGAGCCCTCGGCGGAGCCTTTGGCGGCGGTGGAGCGGCTCGGGATCAGCCCCTTGGGATGGACAGGGGATTCCCCTTCGGAATGCTCACAGAGCTCCTCCAAAAATGTCACAGGATCCCTCCAAGGGTGTCACAGGATCCCCTCTTGGAATGGCCACAGGATCCCTCCAAAAATGTCACAGGATCCCTCCAAGGGTGTCACAGAAACACTTCTTGGAATGCCCGCAGAATCCCCTCTTGGGATGCTCACTGGACACAGGATCCCTCCAAAAAACCATCACAGGATCCCCACCTTGGAATGGCCACAGGATCCCTCAAAAAATGTCACAGGATCCCTCCAAGGGTGTCACAGGATCACCTCTTGGGATGCCCACAGGATCCCTCCAAAAATGTCACAGGATCCCTCCAAGGGTGTCACAGATCCCTGCAAGGGTGTCACAGGAGCCGGGACCAGGGAACTGGAGCAGACCAAGGCACTGGAACTGGTTTGCTCGGCCCTGGGAAGAGCCCGAGGCTCATCCCGCATTTCCAGAGGGCACAGCTGGGATAAAGCACGTGGGAAGAGCAGCCGGGCGCCGCGGAGCTGCGGGATCACTCCTGCAGGTGCCTGTGGCTCCGTGGCTCCTGTTTTCCGTGGGTTTGGGTCAGGTATGTTGTTCCATGTGATTGGGAACGCCCCAGCCCCGTCCGACCCAGGAGCCACCGGGAATCGAGGGAATGCGATCCCAAACCTTAGGAAAGGAGGGAAAAGCCATCCATGCCTTTTCCCCTCTCATCATTTCCTGTGCCAGCAGGACGGAGCGAGCTCAAGGACAGACGGAGCAGGATGGAGCCGGGACGAGCTCAGCTCCAAACCCGCCCCCTGCCAGTGCTGGAGAGTTCATTCCCAGCTCCCGGGCATCCCATGGATGGCTTGGAGCCACGGGATGGAAACCTCAGCCATCCCACATCCCACAGCAGGGCAGGGAAATCCCACAACAATCCCAAATCCCACAGCAGGCCAGGGAAATCCCACCACAGTGATCCCAAATCCCACAGCAGGTCAGGGAAATCCCACCACAGCAATCCCAAATCCCACAGCAGGCCGGGAATGATCCACCACAGCAATCCCACATCCCACATTGGCCAGGGAAACATCAGCACACCCACACTGTGCTGCCTAACAGGGGCTGGGGCACCTGACACTGGGATTTGGGGAGGAAGGGGCTTTTCCAGGCTCCAGGAAAACACTGGGAAGCATGACAGAACCCACAGGGAAGGGTCACTCTAAAAGAGCCTTTCCTAAAACATCCCTTTAAAGAGAGCAAAGCAGGAGACACAGTGGGGTCTCTCCCAGGTGATTTGAAGCAGCGCTTGCAGGAGATTTTAGCTGGAATCTCCAGGAGAATCTCAGCCAGCTCCCTCAGGGCTGCTCCCCCAAGCTTCAGGGATGGCCTGTGGGAGAGGGGGATCCCTTGAGCCGGGCAGGACCTCCCGAGCGGGGCAGGATCCCCTGAGCCGGGCAGGATCTCCCGAGCGGGGCAGGATCCTCTCCCACATCCCGGCTGGAAGTGGAGCCCTGTGCAGGCACCAGCCCTACCAGACTCCTCCAGCTGCCACACCTTCCCTGGAGCTCCGGAATTAACCCCTGGCAGAGCGCGGCCGTGCCCGCCGCGCCACCTGCCCGTGCTGGAAAAGCCTCTCCCCGTGTGACC